AAAAAATAAAGATACATGCAAAAAAAGGAAAATGTATACAATGATGAACCTCAATTTTGAGGTCCAAAAATTGGTCAAATTAAGCCAATTATGGACTCATATGCTGTTTGCCATGAACAACATCGAAAAGCAAGTCGCACTTGATCGTTAAATGAGATCAAAATTTATTCTTAGCTTTGACTTATATTAAATTCTAGATTTTAATCCTTACCAAACAGGGACTTAATGATTAAAAGTACCAAAAAAAAAAAGGTAGAAATACACGCAAAAAATTTGAAAATGTATGCACAATTGAAACTCAATTTTGAGGTCTAAAATTTGGACAAATTAAGGGAATTACGGATTCATGCGTTGTTTGCCAAGATCGACCGTGAAAAGCAAATTGCAGATGATCGTGGTGGGCCTTTAAAGCCCTATTTGCCATGGCTCGGTTTGAGTTGTGGTTTGGAAACTGCGGCCATTTTTCTTTTTAAAAAATAGCAATTTTCATAATTTTGGTCGGAAAATTTGCAGGCTTTTTGATGCACAACTTCTGAGGCTGTTTGATGCCTACATAAAGATCTTATCTTGGTCAAAATAAGGAGGTTTACACAATAGAAAATTTGAGAAAAAGAGGAGAAAATACAAAGGAGAAAAGGAAGAAAGCTAGCATTTCAAGATTTTTCAAGAAAACAATTTTTTGGTGCAAGATCTTCAATTTTTCTAGCTCTTATCTTAAATCAAATGATGTAATTTTTTTCATGATGTATAAGTAAACCAAAATTGGGATAGTGATGTAACTTAGTTTTGAGCCCTTTCATTAACTATTATGTTTTGATATCAAATTGATGTCTTTGCATTATTTTTACTTCTTTTCTTCATGCCTTGCTTTATTTGATCACTAATTCGTTGATTTGTGAATGCTAATGAAGAAGGGGAGTTATTTATTTAGATCATTTAATAAAAATCAGAATTTAAGTACAAGTTAGAGATCATGACTTTTGCTAATTTTGTGGTCTTTAATTGAATTCTTAGGTGATTGAATGCTATTGATTAAAGATTATCATGATTCATTTGGAGATATAGGGAGTTGACTTAATTGAGTAGAATTATTCTAAACTCGAAAAATATAAATCAATTAATTTAGAAGAATTCGATCGAGTACACATCATGATAGTTGCTGAAGTTTGGAGATTGAGATTAAGAGGATGTCTATGGTAAATTCATTAAATCTTAACAATTTTCATACATCAAGTAAAATTCTAAATTATTGAGTTTTGCACTTCTCAATTAATTTTGTAAATTTATAGTTTTTAAGATCGTATTTAAAATGAATTTTTATTGTTTTTACTCAAATAGAAGTTACAGATAGTTAAATTGAAAGTTATAATAATATCCCTTTCTGAGATGATTATTCACACTCTTAGATCTACTTTACTAGCTGTTAACTAACTCGTACACTTTTAGTGAAAACACAACAAGTTCTTGGCTTGATTTGTGTGTTTTACATGCTTATTCGGGGTTACAAACTTGAATTATGTTTTCTAATTTGAGCAAATTTCTACTTAATTTAGTGTACTTATTGCTGTTATGGGTAAAGCCTGCACTTGAAGGCATTTTGAGAAAAAAGAAAAGTTTTTGAGCTAATTTGGAGTTGGTTTAGAACAACTGAATACTGACACGATTATATGAAATCGGTAATGAGTATTAAGAGAGTAATCAGTGAAAGTTTTAAGTTTTGAGGAGTGAAATTCATCTTTTGAAAATTTTGAGATCTGAATTATACACGTTTAAAACTTGTAGAAGACCAATTTTGGATTATTATGGATGCTTGGGACCGACATGGTTGCTTTTGAACATTTTGAGATCAATATTGAAGATTTGGATCAATAAGGACCGAAATAGGACGATAAAGTTGAAATAGGACCAAAGATCAAAATTAGAAGGCTGATGGGCTAACTTGGACATGTCAAAAAGTTGAAGGACAAAGATTGATGAAAATGAAAAGTTAGAGGACCTAATTAACGAGGCAGAAAATTCAAGAACTTGGTAAAAAGTTTAATGTTGAAAAGTAAATAAAATAAATGAAGGCACAAGGGAGAAAAAGGAGAAAATTCATATCTCAATCATTACAAATGGGCCAGCTCAATTTTCAGATAATAAGTTTACAATTCCAAAACTCAGATAATAAATGAATAATTAAAAATCATTTATTGATTGAATATATTAAGGTCACAATTACACAACTAATGGTCACAAGTTCATACTTATAAGCCATAACTTATTTATTAGTTACATATTATAAAATTAATTGATTACAAATTATTTTTCAATCACAAATCAAAAAATTTATAAGTTAATTTGTTTACTGATCATGAATCACAAATATGTCACATATTATCAAATTAATTAGTTACAAACTGATTCTAGATCACAAGTCAAAAAAATTATAGGTCATAATTTATTTATCAGTTATAAATTATAAATTTTATTAATCTCAAGTTATTTTACGGTCGAAAATTATCAAATTAATTTGTTATAAATTATTTTTCAAACATGGATTATCGAATTAGTTGGTCACAACTTACCAAATTTTGAGCCACAATCACACAATCTTTTAGGTCACAAATTAACCAATTTATTGATCACAACGTACAAATGATTAGCCACAAACACTTTTCGTCCCCACTCCACTGTTTCCGCTGCCACAACCAAATAATTGGTCATGAACACTAAAAAATTTCCACCACCACCTGCATCGGCATCTCAGTACCAATGCACAGCCACCAACGCCACAACCGCCATCACCACCCACAAACCACCACCAACTGAAAACCATCCACCCAAAGAAACTAGAAAATCACCTACATAACTATTGCCACCTACACAACAACTGCCATCATCACCCACAAACCACCTACAGAAAACCACCTATCACAAAAACCAGAAAATCACCTACATAAAACCACCCATAGCACAAGCAACAAAAAAAATACCCACAGGCTTGGAGATAACCATTTGTTGGATAAGATAAGTCGTCGTTGCGTGTAGCACTGCTACACGCTACTACTTTGAACCTTTGCGTACGACGCTAGAGATAAGTTGTCTCGCTACGCATAACAGTTCTACATGACACTATGTCAGACCTCTGCGTATGGCGTTGGAGATAAGTTATTGGAGAAGAGAGTCGCCGGAGAAGAGAAATTATTATTATTATTATTTAAAAGTTGAATTATTGCCTGATTTTTGGTTCAATAAACCTCACACCTGATTTTTGATTTAGAAAAATTATATACCTATTTATATGTGATTCCAATGGAAAAAAGGGATAGTGTATGCATTGTTGGGCCAAAAAATTGGACAAATAAAGGGGTTACCTACCTAGATGTGGCCTTTAGTGTTGCTTCCTGTTCCGAAAGACAACAATTTTTATAACAGAAAAATTCGTTTATAGCCTATTACAAACAAAGATTTCATATTTTAATAGGTAAATGAAATATAACTAAATGTGCTAACATAAATGTAAATTATATTAAAAATATTGACTTCTAAATATAGATTCTAAAATTCATTTGTAATTGACATTATATGAATTATGCTGATTTCACGTTCCACATTCAATGAAACTTCCAAAATAAATAGGATTTCAAATGAGAATGGGGATGACAGCCATGTCCATTATAGAGAAACAAACCGTACATTTTCTAGCAGGGGCGGATCTAGCTATTGGCCAGCTAGGGCGGCCGCCCTAGCTGGCTTCGCCAGAACCGCCACTGGCTGCCCTTTTTTTTTTGTTCATATAAATGAATCTTTAAGGTTATATTTCTGATAATCACTTCTAGTTCGAAGATTGCACCTGGCCAAGTTGGACAGTGTTGGGTTTTGCATTTTGGAGGTCCCAAGTTCGATCCTTCATCAATCCATTTTTATTGTTCAATATTTTTAGTTTTACAATTTAAAATCAATGGAATGAGGAGGGGGGATTCGAACCTGGAGCTATTCTTAAAATTATTAGTGGTTTGACCATTATGCCATTTGTTGAATTGTGACAATAAATTTAACAAATTTATATATATTAGATCTTAGCTTGTTTTAATGTAACAATAAATATTTGATTCTTCTTTTGAATTATATAAAACTTGGCAACTATGTCATTTAATGAGTATGATTTATTCTTTTAACAAAATTATATACGTTCAATTTCAATAAAATAATTGTTATATTTAAATTTTACGTCTTGTTTGATTCCCATTTATTTCAAAATATATTTTTCTCTATTTTATTTTCAACCATATATTTTTCAATAACCGATTTTATTTTTAATCATATATTTATCATTTAACCACCCTTTACGTATTAACTTCATCTTGTCTTGTTTAAGTTCATAAAATTTGATCATACGTATATAATTCAAAAAATGTATTTTTATTCCTTATTATTTTGACTTGTATAGAATTATATTTTCATATGTATATAATGTTTTATATTTTAGTGTATTTATATATTGATTGAAGATTCTTTTAATATAAATTAATTAAATATTAATAAACAATCTTGCTATATTGGACGATCGCTCAATAACCGCTCGACGCTCCGCCCTAGCTCACTTGAGTGGCTAGATCCGCCCCTGTTTTCTAGTGATTCTATCTATCAAGAAACATCTTATAGTTCTGTGTCGGACTGAAGATGAGATTTCTTATGAGATAATATATTAAGATGAATCAAAATTAGTCCCTGTTGATAAACTTAGTCGGTTATAAGAAATCATAAAATAAGAAAAAGTAAAAAGGGATCCAACGTGTAAAGTCAATTCTTGATTTCGTTATTCTTATAATCAATCGAAATATGGATAGCAAATGTTACGTGATAACAATAGATGAGGCAGTGAGTTTGGCTGTTTTTGTCCTGATTATAGAACTATTTCACCTGTGTCGTAAAAACAAATATGCGTGAACCATTCATAGGGACATGAAAAATCCAGAAGACACAAAAAACGTTATGGAGCAATAACGTCCTGATTATAATTTTCACTGAAATTTCGAAAAATGATGTTGCAAGTCTAGGAAACATTCCAAAATTATATGACGAAATACTGAAATTCTCTCACACAAAGAGATATGATACAAAAACTTCTACTCGAACTGTGCCACACTAAAATAAACATCAAACAAACTTTCCAGGTAAGATTCAAACAATAACAACACCCTTCATCGTCCTGCTGCACCTAACACGTGGAAGTATGAGGTCAAAATCTGTATTATATGCTTCAATCATCTTCTAGCGGCCATGCTTGAATAGTTGACAGACCAAGTTACATCTGGATACTTCTGGATCATAGTCGTCGACATTTCATCAATTTTTGGTTTATAATGAACTCGATGAACTTGATGACATATGGCCAACAATCATGTCTGCAACAATTCGACAAAAATGTTAGAAAACCTAATATAAGAAAAGAGAAAAGCAAAAAAAGTGTAGAAAATTGATTTATGAAACCAATAAAAAAATGTAACTCTTAGATGAATAAACTGTTGAAGCTTACATATTATGGAGTCGAAGGAGAATCTGTTAACAAAGTTGAATCTGACTCAATCCCTTTTTTTTTTCCCAAACATCTTACTTAATAACAACAAAATAAAATAGATCATGTTACTTGAAAGAGATGGACAAGAGGCACTGCATTAGTATTTATAAAATGCAACATACACTGATCGACCACATCATAAGCACATCAGACAGGATGATGTTCCATAATTTTCAGCAAAATATCAAATTTTTCCCTCAAATACACCACATTCATCATCCCAGATATATGGTTATGCATATCTTGTATAAAATATATTTATTTAATTATCTCACTGTACCAATTAAGAACTTAATATGTATGTTACTAAGAATTACTCACATATGGGGAAATAAAAGAAAGAAAAGGATATCCCAGGTCACTTCCATGAATCAATAAGTAAATATTCCAATATCACAGAAATAGATTAGACAAAGTACCGACCCGTGATCATCTTGTGGTATGTTAGTCACGATTTTCAGATCAAGTGGTTTGCCATTTAATGCCATTGATGGTCTTGGGTTGCCATGCATTTATCTTCACCACAAGACAGGGGAGAACATAAATGAAAGCTTCTACATCGCAGCACACGATTCTATCTCTCAAAGCCGGCCGACTTGAGTTATGAACGTACAAAGCATCTGTCCTTCACATCGTAGTGACCAAGTATCCAAAGAGCTTTCTTCTCCATCATGATTGGAATGATGACATGATCGATATTAGACTACCAGGTATTGCAGTGCATGTAATCTCCTATTCAACCAAAGACTTGAGTTATAACTGCCTCAGAATGTAAGATGTTTCTTACATTCACAACAAAATGTGAAACAATATGATGGGATTGTGTGAACAAATATCACTGTAGTGACGAAAATTAGTAGTTAATATTACTAACGATAATGTGACTTGCCTGTGGCTCGTATTTGAGCACCGCCTTTTTCTTTTTTGTTGTTGGGATTAGTTATCGAAGCTTCCATAGACCTCTTTAGGTTCGTCTTCCCTGAAGATTCAGCGTTGAATTGCACGGCTCTTACATATGACGGACGAATACCCTTTTCCTTTTGAATCCGATAGAATACTAATAGACTGGGACCACCTGGTAATGCGGTGATGAGGAGTCCCAAATTTTTCTTCTTTTGGCTCAATGATCTCCAAAGACTTAGATGACGTTCAAACTCGCTAGGTCTTGACGGAACCCATGAACAAGGAGTAGCTTCAGTATTTGTTGTACTCTACAGAACCCAGAGAAGAGTGAATAGATTTATGAGCAGTCTAAATTGAGTTTTGGCCCATTTCCTCATTGTTGTTTGAAAACAAATTTGAACTGCTTCTGTGTGATGCAATAACCTGCCGGAAACTTAGAACCCACTTCGTATTACCTCAGAAAAATCAGATTTTTGTATCTTCATCACCAATTAGGGTTTTATAGATGTGATAAATCCCTAATCAATGAAACAAATAATATAAAAAATTTTACAATGTGGAATGATGCAAGGGATTACGGTGCTTAATTTGTATGATACCAAATTCTGGTGTGATTTTCAGAATATCTTGAGTTGAAATGATTTGGGAGGAATGGAGAAAGAGAGGAGTATGAATACTAATTTGGGGATTAAGAAAACGATTATGTTTTGCTAATGGCCTGTTTGGGAGAGTGAAATTAGCACTTGATTTGATGCCTCTGTGAGTAGTTAAAATTTAACATTTTTCATTTTACTTTTATAATCCAGTACTTAAGGAGAATCTAGTTGCATGCTCGTACAATACATGGGCTGTGTTATCTTTTAAGGTAATGTTAGTGTGTCTAACGTTAAGAATTGATGGGAGATACGTGCATTAGATTAAGTTAGCAGAATGAACTTAATTCAATGAGCTAAATTTACATATAATATAACCAATAAAATACAGTCACGATGCATCTGAAAAGCATGAGGAAATAAATTAAACTTTAACAAAGACAAAAGGAATTAGCAAACAAGATTTAAGCGTATAAAGGGACCTAAACAATATGCCATCATTTTCCGTAAGTTTAACAGTGATGTTAGTAGTCTCAAATGGTGAGAATTTGTATGCACGATGTTTTGAAACTTTCAATAATATTTATATTTCTAACATGGATCAATTGACCTTATTGAACATATAAGTGCACTAACATATAGAGAGGGGGAGGGGGAGAGAGAGAGAGAGAGAGAGAGAGAGAGAGAGAGAGAGAGAGAGAGAGAGATAGATGACTAACAATCATGTAGTACCTTATTAAAGTATTCAGCATAGCTTGATCATTCATTTAAAGAGTTTGAAGGCACTTCACGATCATGTGCACACACAAAAGAATGTTGCAGTTGATCATGATTGGGACCCCATGAATCAATTACAAAGGTTAGTTATCTCATAGTTGAATGTTCATAGTTGACACAGAAGTCACACTTTTCACTTTTGGTTTTCCATACTTAACCAAATTTCTTTAATTTTTAAACCAATTTCCAACAATTCCCCCATGAATTGAAATTCGAACATCCATATGCAATGCGATGCGAAAATATGATGCATTGTAGAGAGAGAGAGAGAGCAAAAAAGCACTGCATTAGGTAATGTAGCTTTCAATTTTGAATCTTCCCTAATCTGTTCATAGTTCTCGTGACTTGGTTCATTTTGACCATGAACCTCTCTTAGGTTTTATAAGTGTTTAGAATTCAAACCTCAAGTAATTCTTATTGAAGCGGCCTCACTTCACATTTATATAGATGATCTCATATAAAGAGCGTTCTGTCCTACTCCACTTGACTTAATCAAGATATAAGAATCATTAAAAGATTATTTTAACACCTTACCACTCTGTAGAAAGCACTTTAGTATCATAGGAATGAGTTAATAAAATAATTTTTCTAAGTGCTTCATGGAATCTTCATAACTTAGTTATCCCATTGAACTAAGGTCTTGGGATACCCAGTCAACAAGGGAGGATTACCATCACAAGATCTCTTACGTATTAAGCTTTAATCTCATTCCTTCTAGTAGGCAACATACTTGATTTTTAAGCAAACTTTTCATAAGTGGATCTGCAACATCTCATTCCTTTCAATAGGCAATGTACTTGATTTTTAAGCAAACCTTTCATAAGTGGATCCACAACGTTATACTTTAATTTCACATTATCTATGGAGATGATGCCATTTGAGATTAGTTGCCTAATGACATTATGTATATGTCTAGGCTTTCAATTATACATGTTATTTCTAGCCTTTCTAATAGCCGATTGACTATCACAATGTACACATATTGCAGGTACCGACTTAGGCCAACATAAAACATCTTCCAAAAAGTTACGAAGCCTTTTTGCTTCTTTTCCAACTTTGTCCAAAGCAATGAACTCAGACTCTATTGTTAATCGAGCTATACACGTTTGCTTTGTCGATTTTCATGAGATAACAGCTCCACTAAGGTTAAACACATAATCACTAGTGGACTTGGTATCCTTCATGTCGGACATCCAATTTGGATTACAATATCTTTCCAATATCGCAGGATATCTTGTAAAATGTAATCCATAGGTTAAGATATATTTTAAGTACTTAAGAACCCTTGTCAAAGCCTTCTAATGATCATGACTTGGATTACTTGTAAATCTGCTAAATTTATTCACAGCAAATGCAATATCTGGTAGGGTGCAGTTCACGATATACATCAGACTATCTATCACTTGTGAATACCTTAGTTGTGACACACTCTTACCCGTATTTTTGACTAAGTGTGAACTTGTACTACTAGAGTTTTTCGTAGGACTTTCCTCAAACACGTCATATTTCTTAAGTATCTTCTCTACATAATGAGATTGGGAAAGCATAATTTCTTCCAACATTCTAGAGATCTTGATACCTCGTATCACATCTATCACACCTATATCTTTCATATCGAAATGGTTCATTAACATTTTCTTAGTGTTTAGTAAAATTTTGTGACTATTGCCCATTATTAACATGTTGTCTAGACATATAATCACATAGGCGTTTGGTGTATGTTTCACGTATACACATTTGTCACACTCATTTATTTTGAAATCTGTTTGACGACATCGTTTTGTCAAAATTATGGTGCCATGTTTAGGAGGTTGTTTTAATTCATACAAGGATATAACGAGTTTACAAACCTTATCCTTTTGATTAAGAGACACAATCCCTTCTGGTTGCTCCATGTATATCTCTTTTTCTAACTCACCATTTAGAAATGCTATTTTTACATCCATTTGATGAATCTCAAGGTTATGTATTGCTGCAATTGCAATTAGCAACATAATCGAAGTGATTCTAGTCACGAGTAAGTACGTATCAAAGAGGTCAAGTCCTTCTTTTTGTCTATATCCCTTTAGCAACGATCTAGCCTTATACTTGTCAATGGATCCATCAAGTTTCAATTTTTTTTGGAATATCTATTTACATCCTCAAGGCTTATTTCTGGGAGATAAGTCAACTAACTCCCACATATAGTTTTGTATTATAGAATCTATCTCGCCATTGATAGCTTTTTTCCAATCATGTTACACTGGGACACAATTGTAGATAAACTCATTTCTTGCATTCCTTCAGAAAGGGTGTCTTTTTTGATCATGATGGCTTGTGCATTTTTCTTCGGCTTTCGAAATTCGCTTGAATGATATTTGATTTTTCCATAGTTGTAGCAGTTCCCTTTGAACTTCTTCGCTTTCTTGGAGTTATCTCTATATGGTGCATCGTCGGAGATCTTCCATTTCTTGTTGATAGCCTTTTGATCTGTTTCAAAAAAATTTGCTCTAAGTTGGACAATAGGTTTTCTCTTGGTTTTCCTATTATCTTTCTCATTTCTCAATCAAATGATAAACTCTTCCAAGTTCATTTCTTTATTTTTGTGCTTGACATAGTTTTTGAAACTCTCTATACAGGAGGGAGTTTCTCGATAATGACAACAACTTGGAAAGATTCACTTAACTCCACTTTTTCGGCATGAATGTCATGTAGTAGAACCTGAAGTTCTTGTACTTGACTAATTAGCTCTTTGGAATCTACCCATCTTGTAGCCCAAAAATTTGCCGACGATAAATTTTTTTTTGTTTCGAAATTCTCGATCTTACACTTGTTTACCAATGAATCCTACAGATCTTTGGCCGAGTCATTAGAACTGTACAATCTATAGAGTATATTGTCCAATCCGTTCATGATGTAATTTTTGCATAGAAAGTCGAATGCTTCCATACATCCAAAGTGATAATCGATTCACGATTATTCTCTCCCTCTTGGACAGTTGGCATAGTCTCATTTAGAAACTTTGCTAGATTTAGAGATCTTTTGTTGCCATCTCTTAAAATCCACTTTAAATTTTTTCGATTTTTCACCATGCCGGATTGCAGTATTTTGTTGTGTTATAGCCATTGGCGGAACCACGTTGTTCATACCATTTTGACTTGAAGTAGCCTCGGTGATACTCATTTCTATTACTTAACAGTAGATTAACGTTGGAACAATGTAGGGGAAGAATAGTACCCAAAGACTATTCCAAAAATGAAAGATACGAGTTTCAAAATCAAGAAACAACAACAGACGATTATTATCTTAAGATTGTTGTTTTCGGGCTTTATCTATTTGCAGTAAAGGTTGTTTGTATGTAACGAACAAAAGGACAAACTTTAATCTGTAAGAGCATAATTAATCCACAAAATTTACGACGAAAATGTAGTACAAGAACTACACAAAAAATCAGGAAAGAAAACAATAAATGAGAAGAAGAATAATAATCTGAGGCAAGTGGTGGCACTTTCTCCTTAAGATGATATTGCTTGCTGTGGTGCTCACAGTTTACGGCACTTGTCTCTCAAAATACAACTGATTCAATTTTGAGGTAGTAGCACTTCAAACCACTTTCGACGAAATTTTCCTCTCTACAAGAGAACTTTATGAAATGAAGAAAAAAGGAATTTTTGCAAAAGGGTTTTATGAATGCTCAATGCAAATATAAGATGGTATTCGAAAAGGACATCCAAAGGATCTTATTTATAGAGGACGAGGGGCTATGGGTGAAGTGGTACATGCCAAATCATGCAATCTTTCTAGCAGAAGCATCACTTCACGTCGCTAGCTTTTCGCTCGAGCAAGAATGTCACATTTTGAGCAGAAACATTTTCGCTCGATTCTTCTAGACCGTCGCAGCCTTTTTTTTCCCTCTATTTTCCTCTAAATTTGGACCGCAGTTTCTCATTTATTCGAAATTGATTTTGAGATTCCAAATATACCATGATGATCTACTCGACAAGTAAAACAAGTTGGTGTAATTTGACCACTGGATCAAGTTCGAATATTTGACCGAAGTTGACATAAAAAAAGTCATCCTTTTCAATTTGGTTTTTCCATACTTAACCAACTTTCCATTCATTCAAACCAATTTCCAACCTTTATTTAGTTACTCCACCATCCATTTAGCACACCAGTCATGAAACACAATTTTCTCGTATTTACAAGTATCCAAACATGCTCATTCCCTTTTTCTAAGAAATGATATCTAATCACATACAATAAGTTATACGAGAACAGATGCAAAACATGTTGGAATCTCAAATAATATT